AAATGCTCTTTTTCCTTGATGTGCTGGCTTGCAGCAGGGGTTTCAACAACTGGGATGTTGTTTTGCTTCACAGAAGCTTCTCCCAAGAAGCAGCTCTGAGTTTGCTTTCTGTAGGGAACTTCTTGCTCCTTAGAAAGTAAAATGCACCAGGCAATTGCTCATGACTAAGTGAAGATTCAGAGCCCAGCAGATGGTTTTATAAGCATTGTCATTATATAATTGATACGCTCTGTTAAGCTCTTTATTTTCTTTTAAACAGGGTTTTTCTTTTCAATGTACTTTGGCCACAGCAGCATCAAAGAAGTACAGCTTGAACAAACACTTCTGCCAGGTCTTGATTGCTCTTTCTCCTGGATTGCAAAAGCTTTCCCCCAGCATTTGGAGGATTCAGTCCTGCCCCAGTAGCCACTGCTTACCCCTGCAGCTTTTCCTTCCTCCATCATCATGGATATTCCATCCCAGCCTCTCCCCTTCCTCACAGCTATGCTTCCCTTCCCTGCCTGCTCTCCCACACACAATTCCTTGCTATGGGCCAACTTCATGCTGAGATCAGCCCAGGAATGAACTTCAGGGAGGGCTTTTGCTGCCCTCAGCCCTTGGCAAGGTCTGGTTTTCCTGTGGGTTCAGCACTGCTGGAAGCCCCTGCAGGCTGGGATGGGGGTAAGTGCTCCGTCCCAGACCAGGGCACCCCATCAGCTGGGGAAGGGCTGCAGCAACAGCAGCTGCCTCCCCTGCACTGCTCCATGGGCTTCTGCCTTCTGTGCAAAACCCTGGGAAAACACATTGCAGTCACAATGTTTAAGGAATACCTGCACCCAGGGAAAAGGAGAAGTTTTCCCAGCTGGAAGAAAACAGCAGAAATCACAGTCATGGCTCAGGTCTTTGCTCCAAAATGTCAACTGAGATTTCTCTCTTTCTTCCACCAAAATTTTCTTCCATTCCTGTTGTGCCTCAATAGTCCTAAAACAACATTTTAATCTTAGTGCTTTGCTTGGCTGCTCAACTATTTTTTTCACTGGAATATATACTTATATCAAGCTGCTGGTAGCTGTAAAAATATCTTGTGAATAGTGTCATTAACAGTCACAAAGTGATGGCTGTGAATCAAAAATTATTTACAAAGGAAATCTGGACACTGTTTAGAACAACTGATAAGATACAGAGTTTTGCAATAGGTGAGACAGAAAAAGACCAAAAATTTCCCAAATACATTGCTGGCAATGGATGGGTGGAACATCACTGTGTTGTCTCTCTTGTTCCAGATTCTGCTTTATGTGGGCACAGAGAAACACCTCTTTATGAAAGTGCTTATAAAAGTGTTCAGGTTTCCCTGATGGGAATGCTGATCTGCATTACATGTTATGGCAAAAGCTGATAGGGGATGGATTATTTGGATGCTGGGGGTGGGGAGGTCCTGTTTGTGCCAAGAAAGACATTAGATGCAAATCCCCTGCAGCTGATGTTTTTATGATTCAAGTGGGTATGCAGAGGTCCCTTTAGCTATGTGTGGTGTGTGCCAGTGTCACAAACCAAACACACTGTGCTACTCCCAGCAGACATCACTGAAACACAGAGTTTGCTCTATTTAAAGCATCCATGCAAGCACTGAAGCAGTTTCCACATCACCTTTCCACATCTAACACTGATTCCCACATCTCCCTTCTGCTTTGTTCTTGACAACAAATCCCACCAGTTACCAGCTCTACATGAAAGACTCCTTCTCTGACCAGGCAGGCAGAGGCACTACCAGGGACAGAAAGATCTTTAAAAGGGTGAAATTTGTACCTGTTTCCCACATCAGAGCAGCATGAATGATCATCCTTTAGCTTGTGGGTCAGAGCAGTTGTTCAAAGCAGAAGATACCACCCAAAGCAGGGTGGGAAGACCTTTGGGGCCATCCAGTCCAGCCCCACCAATCCTGCGAGCATCACACAGCTCTCCAGTGATGTCTCTGCATGTCACCACCATGCAGTGCAGGATCAGGACTGTGCCCAAAACCTTAAAAATTTTCAGAGAAAAGTCAGAAAACCCAGTGTGCCAGAGGCAGAAAGCAAGAGGAAACAAGTTGTCACCTCTGTCCTAGCCCCACACAGTAGGAGGGCTTTATGGGTTGAAAGTCAAACCAATGGGTTTTGGGTTTGACTCAAAAGTCATTGCCAAACCTCAGACAGAACAAACCCCTCCCTGGTTATCATTCCCCCTGGGATTTTTGCTGAACTCTCAAGAAAAGAGTTTCTTATCAGCCTCTTGCCACCCCTCCCTGAAATGCAGAATTTTGGCAATAGCCAAGTTTCTTCACAGCTTGGCTGTGAAGGAGCACGTGGGAATGTCTCTGCAGTTCACATGCACTCTCTCACAGGAGCCTGCCGAGGGCTGACAGCACCCCAAAACCCACAGTCCAGCCTTGGTCACTTTCAGGCTGTAAGTGCAGCAAGTGGTGAATGCACTGAATGCAACCTGCATGCCTCAGACCTGCTGTGCACAAGAGGTGGAGGAGGTTTGCGTGTGGTCAGGAAGCTCCGTGTGTTCTGAACCCATCAGATTTCCTGTACAGAGCCTTTTCCAGGCACTGACTGCCTCCAGCCCCACTGCTGGACCTCCCTGCACTGTGCAATTTCTCAGTCCATACCCACTGCACCTTCCCCAGACAACTCTCGGCTGGGACAAACACACTGCCCTGCCTGAGCTGCAGATCACCAGCTGTAGGCACTTTGAAGTCAGTCTTTAAAAACCCAAGAGATTTATCCTGTTCTTGCAATAGGAGCTTTTACTAACCCAGTCTCAATTCTGCTGCATCTATGCCTGCCCTCAGCACCAGTTGCAGCAGACATCCAGGGAAAATCAGCTTCAGGCAAAATAAGCTTCATCCTGAGGGATTTAAAGGCTGGCAGCCTATTCTCCTGGGGCAGGAGCTCCCAAGGTTGCCCTAGCTGACCTAGAGAGGGCTGTGAGCAGTCAGGGTGCATTGCTGGTGTGTTGCCTGTTCACCAGCAAATTCAGTTCCTGGAAAGACTAGTGGTGGTTTGAATCTAAGAATGGTGATGTTCCTGGCCAGAATGGGAAGTATTTTATTTTATTTTATTTTATTTTATTTTATTTTATTTTATTTTATTTTATTTTATTTTATTTTATTTTACTTTCAGGTTTTGGATGCTTCTGAGAAAAACATTTAAAACCAATATATCACCTAGAAAATGAGCATGAATGACTTTTTACGGGAGTAATAGAAACTGAAACATGAACATTCAACAAAATATTTTGTCCACAGGAACTGCAAAGCTGCATTTAAAGCAAAGTGGTCAGTGTGTCTTCAGGTGTCCTTTCTCAGCCATGCACTCAGCTTGCTCGTGCTGTCCTGGGGGAGGAAGGAGGGACAGAGGGACATGGCAGCCTCCAAACCCCCTTTGCCATGGGGAAAGCATCAATTCATCATCCTTGTACAATATGTACATAGGGCTTGTTTGATCTCATCTTGCAGCTGAGAAACTGCACCACAAATTTTCCCCTGAGCGGGTTTTCACATGTCATTAACAAATCCCACAACATAAAATCAATCATAGAAAATATTCAGCAAAAAATAATGGGGAGGAATTTCTCTGCTTCCCTGTTTGTGATATCTTTTGAATCATGGCTACCCACTGCTGGCAAAACTTGTGGAGTTGCATAAGTTTCCCTGCTCAGGGAAATCTCCCCACAGACTTCAGAGGGATTTTTGCATGGGTAAAAGTTCAGAATACATCCATCATGGTGAAAGAAGGGATCCTTCTGTTTACTTGTCCAGGTTTCACATGAAAAAGGGGAAACCAAAACCTGCTTTTTTCACATTAAATGGTTATTATGTGACATCCAATGAGCTAATTTCAGGGCAAACTCTGTGTGTGTGTGTGTTGTGTGTAACCCTGGTGAGTGACTGCCCTGGAGCCCTTACATGTGAAGACTTCAATCAAGATTAGTTAAAATGTAATAAATCTAAGTAGGCAGAGTGGTCTGCCCGGACTATTAATAGCAGGAGTGGGGAACTCAACAACTGCTGGTTGCTCAAAGGGCTTAAATGGATAAAATGAAACAGAAGGTATATGTTTTATTATAGGGTGTCACAGTGTTATCAGATGCGTGGAAATCATCCTTGCAATGCTACTGCACCACTAAATCTTGCATGCAGGCTGAATGAAGAGGATTACTTCCAATATCCTTTTGCTCATGCTGCTGTCATAGCTTTTCCATATTTGACTTTGGGAAAAGAAGAAAAGAGTTTGCAAGAGGAAGAGTCATGGCAACGCTGCGTGTTAGCACCAAATCAGATTGGTCATGGCTGATCTCAGCAGGACATCAGAAGTTACAAAGCCAGCAGAAATGGCCAAAGAGCCTTTGCAGGGATCCACTGGTATTTGGGTTTATATCCATTTCAAAGGGAAGAAGATATGGGTAAAGCTCTTTATGGCTGACTGACGTAAAGCATTTATGAATGTAAGAGAGTAGGCAACTTGGCCCAGTGTGCCAGAGGAGAAGTGCATTTAGAACTGGATTTTATCTTCAACTCTAAGGAGTCTGACTCCAGTGTGGGCACTGCTTCTTAATCCTTGCCCACCTTTACTCTCTCCTGAGCACTGGCTCTGCCAGTGGTGTGGCACAAACACCATTTCTCAGCATATGTTTGTTCAAGGACTACCCCAATGTGCCCAATCTTAGCATCTGTAGGAGGTATCATAATGCTAATATAACCTGTGGGCTGGCTGGAAATATTTTAAGACATGTTTCTAATATGAGTTTCCCTGTGGGTGTGTAGCTGGGATTAGCAGGTTTTCTGCAGATATTACTAGAACTGCTAGAAATGAATAATGGAAAATGAAACCTAATTTCCATTATATTCTCTCTCCTCTTCCAGAAAAATGACAAAATACATTAGAATGTTGGAAGTGGGACACATTTATTTGAATAGAGCTATACCACTTCCCGTAATAGCTACTAGAGAACTTCCAAAGTTCCCTATTTTTCTTTCAGCTTCCAAATTCATAGTACTATGAAGGATGGCAAGTCATAACGCTGACAGGGATTGGATTTTTTGTTGCAGCCTGAAATCATGTACATCCTGCTCACATTTCCCTTACAGGTCTAGGGGTCTGCTTTGCACTCAGTCTTCCAGATTTGAATATGCATCTACAAGTAGAACCTTTCATCCAGTGACCCTTTCAAATGATGCAATTTCTTGAAAATCTACTACAGCCTTAGGAAAAGCAAGAATGGGAACCAGTGAAGCAGTGGTTACAATGACAGCAGCCTTACAGTGCCTGAAGGGAGCTACAAGAAGGCTGGAGGGGGACTTTTTACAGGGTGTGTTGTCATAGAACAAGGGATAATAGCTTGAAACTGACAGAGGGCAGGTTTAGAATAGATATTGGGAAGAAATTCTTGGCTCTCAGTGTGATGAGACATGGGCACCAAATGACAAAAATTGACTGTGTCCACGCTCCATAGTATTTGGGAGCAGGTCTTCATTTGGCCCCATGAGATGGCCCTCCAACGTGAATATTTTTTACCTATTATTGCAGATGAAAACAACACTGAGGCCATCCTGTCACCAGCCAGAATGGTTGAAATGGAGGGCTTGCACTGTTGTGTCCTGGAAAGAAGCTCTGGGAAGATGGAAACACTCAGAATCACACTCCATGCTGCAGGAATCAGCAGCTGGACAGGTTTATCCATATAATCACTTATATAAGGGCCAGTCTACCTGCATAGTCAGGAAACATAAAATAGGATAATCCCAGAAAGGGAAAAATGGATTGTCTCTTCTCCAGGCTGCTGGGGCTGCTCCATGGTGCCTGCACTGTGATATCTGTCTGTCTTCCTCTGGCCATCTGGAACCAGGGGGAGCAGCACAAAGCGTGTGTGAAGGCAGATGACAACAGCTGAAGCTGGAAAGGAGAAGCAGAGAAAGACAGAGGAAGCTGTTAGTAATGCCAGAATCTATTTTGGTAGATGCAGGGGTTTCATTTATTTTGCAACATAGAAATTGGGAAAAACTAGAAACAAATCCTATAATGACAAAGGTAGACTTGTGAGAAATCATGAATTTTTTACCAAAAAACATCAATAATTTAAGCTATTGATATTGACCTATTAAAGCACTCGAAATTGCAATTCTCTTCCTTATCTTTCCCCTTTTTACTCTTCATTCCAATTCCCTTTGTTCCTCGCTTGTCACTCAACATCACATAGATTTTGTGATAATCTGCATTTTCTTTTCAGCTTTCTTGAAATCATCTGGTTGCCCGTGTCTCGTTTCTCTTAAGTCACTCTGGGTGCAAATCATCTGACACAATTTCAGCCATTTGAGAGTCAGGTACTCACCCAGGCTGCTCCTCTGGGCTCCATTTACAGAGGGCAGAGGGAGACCCAGCTGGCAGTTTATCCCACGCTCTCTAGGAAGGGGCCAAAGGCTGAGCTTAGCTTTCACTGGACATCTAAATCTGAGAGAGAGAAAGAGGGTGACAAGCCCTGTCATCTGTGACTTTCCAATAACTGCATGTTACTGGGCTTACAAGGACAAAAGGAGGAATAAAACAAAGACATGACATAATTTGAATGGAAAAAAAAGTAGAAAACCAAAATTCTTCACTTGTCACAAAAGCAGATTTTTTTTTAAGGAATGTTATGCTTAAGAAAATCCAAAACTTTTCACATCTATTCCAAATTTAGGGCAAAAAGTATAAACCACATTTAGTAAAATTATAGACACTATTTCTCTAAACCTCCCCAGCATGTCGTTGAATACTTCATGAAAGGTGAGAGAATGTTTTAAGCAAGAACATTCTTCTAGCAGCTATGAGCAGATTTGTCATTGACCACAGAGCAGATGTGTTCTGTGATCTGACAGATGTTCCAATGAAAACAGGGGAACCCAACACATGGATCAGAAACATATTTTATCTGGAGCTCTAGTGCATTGTCTGCAAAAAACCATAAAGCCAAACCAGGTATTCAATTTATCATAAAATTACTTAAAACTTAAGGAAAGTTCTAGAATTTTCTTCTTTTTCAAAGTAAAACAAATCTGTAGAACTTCATGTGACATTTAAGTGCCTCTAACTCCACTTCCCTGTCAGCCCCATATCATCCCTTGACATCTCTTCATTTCGCCCTATTTGTCTCAATTAAAAGATCAAATGTAATTTTCCAACTGATTTTCCTTCCTGAAATTTTTAATTCCATTTTTCCAACATCCTATTAAGTGTCAATCTCTCTGCACATGCATAAATTACTTTATAAACTTGGGAGGTGGGGGGAAGGGAAGAAGAGGAGCATAGATAAAACCCCAAATAATTCACAAATTGAGGCTAAGGAATTAATGCCATGTGGAATTTAATGACATGGGGTGCTCTGCTGCCTAAAGCCTGTCCAGTCACACTGCCCCTTCCATGGAGCTCTGTGCACAGCTCTTTCCATGTGCTATTGCAGGGAGGTGTGGACTGGAGGTGGTTTGATAAGATGCTCAGTCTGGGGTTTCAGGCCATGCACTTTTCTGCTTTGTCCTGAGAGGAGCTGACCTGCAATAATGCTCAAAATCAGGAGAAGTCCCCTGTATAACTGGAGATCTGCTCTGTTTAACAGCATCTCACAGATTCTGGCTGGCCAGCTGAGCCCCACACTCCTCTGTGATTGCAATGAGTGGGAGAAATCTTCTTTCTCTTCACTTTAGTAGTAATTCATTAAACTGGAAATTACCCCAGCTGGAAAATCGATATGGCCCTGGCTTATAGGGGCATATGAATGCACAGCGCCTTCTGCAAACAGAGGTTTAATTTACCTCCCAATTGCCATGAGCTGAAGTGATATCAACTGCAGCAGTGTCCCATGTAATCGTGGCTGAGGTCAGGCTTTAATGTTTGCAATTCCTGTGCAACACACAGCTCTTTTGGCAGTGACTTTGTTGGTAGGGCTGTCAGAAAAAAAGCACTTTGTTCTTCTAAAAGCACTACCCCCGTGATGTAGATGTGTCACTATTATTGCAGGCTTGTTCTCCCTATGAGAATTCCCTGAGATGCTCAGACAGACCTGTGAAAAGAGGGATTCTGCACATGGGGACACAGAGGCACGAGGTGGCAGTGTGGTCAGGGGGGTTTTCCCCTTCATTGTGTTGTCCTGACATCAGTGTTTGGCAGAACTGACAGCCAAGCAGTAATTCAGCTCTCAGGCCATGGCTCCGTGGTCCTTTCTTCCCTAAGGAATTTCCCCTGTGCTGATGTTCGAGCTCAGGGTCATGTGCTGGTGACCAGCAGATCCAGGTGGCAGTTTTGTGAAGCATGTTGGATTCCCCTTGGCATTCTCAGCTGCCTCCAGCCACTTTCTGCTTCCCTGCTATTTGCCCCCAGGTCTTTTTCCTCACCTTTAAGCTGGTGAAACGTTGTCTGTGTCCAAGTCCCTCGGTGCTAAATTCATTTGTGTTCACAAACATGTGAAGGCAACTATAAAAGTGCAAAAAAAATGAATATATGTTAATGTATTCTGCAATCATAAAACCAGAAAAGGGAGAAAAGAAAGCAGTGATTTTATCTCTGTAGAAAGAATAATTTAAGAAACATTACCAAACATAGCTACAGAACATGGCTAATGACTCCATTTCAGGTCTTAACCTCCACAGTGACCTGCCCATAAATGAGGTATTTTTTCAACCTCATGTACTTCCCAAGCTGCAAATAATCCATAGTATCAGTGATTCCAGTCTCATTTATTTGCACCAGTGTGACTTTCTTTTTCAAATAAAAAGCACAGTGCCACACATTCTGCCTACAGCTGGAATAACATGAGAGCTGCTAGCTGTTAGAATTCACCCGAGGGGAGCAGTTTAAGGTAAAGCAGCATTAGCCTGGAGCACATGTCACAGCACAAGAGAACCCCTTCAAAATGAAAATAAAAATGCAAATCTGCCCTCTGTGTTGCCTGTTACACCATCTCTCTAGGTTTTAAACATTAAGAGAACAGCTTTGTTTGACTTTTTTACTCCCAGGTTGGTTCTTTAGCTCAGTGCACAGATATTATTCTGCCAAATAACTCCTGTGTAACTTGAGCTACGCCACAAGATTAATCCCTTGGTTTTTTTAGAGGACAACCTGATGGAAAGAGCTGCAGTTAGCAGGTGGGCTTGTGACAAAGAAAAGAGAGCAAGGATCAATTATAGCCTTGAACGTGGCTGCTCAACTATGTATCAGATAACCACCAATTCCCTGAAAATCTGTCACTATCCAGCAGTTGCTACGCAAGGGTGAGCGTGGGGCTGCTGAGTTCATGTTCATAATCGGGCCAGGTGGGTGATGCCTTTTAAGGAGAAGTGGCAGGAGGAATGCACAGGGACCCAGGATGAATAGCCCTGCCATTTTTGCCTGAATGAAAGGCACTTGATGGCCTGGGACTTGATGGCCAGTTTTGTTTCCAAAGGGTTTTTCTGGGGTGACAACATAGAAGCAGGGCCCTGTCGGTCAGGTTGTGATGCTGCTTTGGTGGCATGGATATGTGGAGGATAAGGAATGGGTCTGATTGCTTGCTTTCTCCTGGACACAGCCCCCTTCTGAATATCCCCAATTTTTTCACTGTAACATATGTTTCTGTGGATCTCCAATTTCTAATTTGTCCTCCTGCTGGCACCATTGCACAGACATTCTCATTTTGATACAGGACACAAAATCTGGAGGTTGCTTTAATCAGTCAGACAAGATTATCACATGAAAACACTTAAGATTGCTCCCTTATCTGTGGGGATACATGCAAAGCTCTTTGATGAGAGAAAGAACATGCTGGTTCCACATCTCATTTCTCCAAACAGTCCTCAGAACCTGGTGACACATCTGGCTGACCCAGCTGCCACACTTACCAGATCTTCATGTTCACCAAGACAAACCCCCCTTATCCCACCTCAGGCTACCAGCCCTGTGTGATTGCAGTGAGTGGGAGAAACCTTCTTTCTTCTAACTTTAGTAGTAATTCATTAACTGGAAATTACCCCAGCTGGAAAATCGATATTCCCACCTGGCAGCAGTTGTACTTGCACTGCTGAAACAGCCACTGGAAGAGACCTGCCAGCATGAGCTTGAGACCCACCAACATTACCAGGTATGGAAATGGCCCTTCAGCAAAAAAATCTCATTTCCTGTGGTGTGCATTTGCCAGGATTACCCAAAATTTTTCACCAAGCTATCACAAAGTCTGAATGAAGTTGAACAACAGGTGAAGAAAGGAAGGGGCAGTGGGACACATCACTCATAAGGTGACCACAGATGAAACTGTCCCCACAGCTGGATGCTTCTCAAGTGCTCTGCAGACCCATTCACAGCTGTTCCTCAACAAACCTTTCTATATCATGAAACTATATCATACAGATGAGAAAATCCTGCTCAGAGGCCAGAAAAAATAACCAAGGCAAAACAAACACAAGAAAATAAACAGATATTTTAGTGCCAAAAGACCAGTAGATTTTAAGTGTCAAGAAATGAGGCTGTTTTCAGAAGGGACTAAAAAGATTGAGGTAATGGGAGCTCAGGGACTGTGGTTGCCACTACACAGTGGGACAGCTGAAGTCAGGGACTGGTCCCAGCTGTCCTCTTCATGTTCCCCATCCAGAGAGGCAGGACATCTGCCCGCCTCAGCCACTGCATTTTTAACTCCATGTGAGTCAAGACCCTTAGGTTCCTCCTTTTGAAGATAGAGTGTAAGCCCTTATGTCTCTTAGTTGTGTATAAAAATACTCACCAAAAACCAGACATGGAGTTACAGGGCAGTGACTCACAACTGCCTATTATTTACTAAATAATTTTATGGTACACTAAGCACTTATTATGTTCTTCTTTGCCCTCCCAGGGGGATTGTTGCAAATGAATTTTGGGAGATGGTGTCTGTCCCAAAGCACCTGTAGTTTGGACAGAAAAGATACACAAAGTGTGCAAGCATAAATGGTGGGGCAGATAAGAGATTTGCCTGAGGTCACAGCATTAAAACTGGGTTTTGTTTTTCCTCACGCCCCATTCCCTGTCAGGTATTTTGTCCATTCATTTCTGACGCTGCTATCCCCGGTGATGGAAAAAGTTTACTGAAAAATATGGCAGAACAGAATATTACCAATGAATGTAGGGGCTTTCACCTGGTACCTATTTGCAGGAGCAGTTATTACAGAGGAACTAATCCTCAGGATTCCATGGCCCATGAAAAAAAGGTTGGCTTTCTTTGACACCGTTTTTATTTTCTCTCTTCTTCCACTGAGAAATGATAGTTTAGGATAGGAGAAGATGGGATGGGACATCCATTGCAAGAGTGCTTGATACAGATCCCACTGCTGTCCTGTGTGTACAAGTGATGTATCCATGGTATTCCAACTCCTCTGTCCAGAGGGGGGGGTGGGTGAGGCAGGGATGTGTCCAACAGCTGAGTGGGGAAGGAGAGCAAGTCTCCTGGCTGCTCCCCTCAGCCATCAGCTTTGCAACCCTACCCTTGGTTCATCTGGTGGTGGCTTTTGGGGTGACCACTTGTGCTCTCCTGTGAACTCAGGGTGCTCCACACACCTGTCATGCCTCCATCCCTGCTCTGCTATTGCACACAGAGGTGCCATTCAGATGTTTCCCATTTTACCAGGAGACGACAGTGGTGTGAACTCAGAGAACAGCGAGAGCTGTGGACAGAAAGGGAAGCAGAGGGGATTGCATCTGCTGCCTGGAAACCTCGAAAGAGGCACTGGAGAAGCTGGAGCTGAATGTTAACACCTGCCTCTGAGAGCTCTCTGCTTTGTCTATAATTGGAATATTTGTCCTTGAAGCAGCTCAGCTATGCCCCTGAGGAGGAAGAGCAGGGAGAATGTCTCAGGGAACTGTAACAGCCAGTGAGCTGCAGGAAACATAAATGTGTGTATCTTAGGCTTTTGTGATTCCTGTGACATCTTGCTGAATGTTGGAAAGGCAAAACATTTATAAGAACAGCAAAGTATCCCGATACAAAATGAGTAAAAATTCAGGCCCTTTGGAAATCATTTGCATTTTAATAGCATTTATTCCTACAGACAGGCAGCAAAGAGAGAAGTTGTTCAGGGATCACAGGAATATTCCAACCATATGAACATGCTCCCTATGGCATTTACTCCTGAGTACCTAAACCCACAAATGGGTGTGGATGGCAAGAGGGGAGGGGAGCTCTTGTGGGAAAGATGGAAGAGGAGCACTGGTGGTAAGGTACAACCAGATCTGTGAAAGATTTCCTATTCTTGGCACTATGAGGAGATTTTGTGTAGATACAAGTTTGCACATGCAGCAACCTATCAGTTTAAGCTGGGGTGTAGGAAAACCATCAAATTTCCACAGCCAGAGGCTGTGGAAGCCAAGGGAAGGGAAAGGGTCCCTCCTGGTGGACCAGAGACACAGTGTGAAGGGTAGGACCTCTTCATGGGTCAAAATTGGGTTTGATTGAAGGCAAGAGGTGAATCTTGAAGCTTTCTTAAACCAAGGGAGGATGACCTGAATCCCTCCAATCAGAGCAGTGGTGGGTGTTAGAAAAAGGCAAATCCCTCAAATGCTTTGCCCTTCACAAAAACAGCCTGAACCTTCAACATCAAAAGTTGAAGAGAAAGGCAAGATGATGAGAAAAATGGCAATGGTGTCCCTTGGTGCAGACCACAGTGGATCTTCCAAATGGGTGTGTACAGAAACAGGGCCCAACCCACCACAGCTGCTCAGCCAAGCTCCAGGCAAGGGTGGGAGCTGAGCACCAGGTGAATCCCTCTCTGTCCTGGCAGATAACACCTTCCCAAGACACCAGGAGCAGCAGAGGAGAGGGCACGAGCAGCCCTTGGCTGGCTCAAACCCTCGGTGGCGAGAACCCAGCAGAGCTGATGGCTCCGCTGCTGCTGCCAGCCCCGTGCCAGTGAGCCTGCCCGGCCTTGCAGCCCTTTATCATTTTAATTTAGCTCTGCAAACCCTGAGCTGTTAGGGCAGGATTCATGCCTCTGGTATTTGCTCTTGGCTCCGGCAGGAACACACTCTCCATGGCTGCTGGGTGCTGGGAGAGGCCCTGCACACCATGGTGCTGGTGGTGCCGGCAGCTAGCCGCGGTGCCTGATTCCTTCAGGATTACTCAGCTGCCTGGAGAACATGAAGCAGGAGGAATGGGCACCCTCAGGGCACATATTTGGCTGCTCTGGGTGAAATCCAAGCAATGCTCACGGCAGGAACACACTCTCCATGGCTGCTGGGTGCTGGGAGAGGCCCTGCACACCATGGCGTGGTGGTGCCGGCAGCTCGGCCGACACCGCGGTTCCTGATTCCTGTGGGGTTACTCAGAGAACATGGAGCAGGAGGAATGGGCTCCCTCAGGGAACAGATTTGGCTGCTCTGGGTGAAATCCAAGCAATGCTCACAGCAGGAACACACTCTCCATGGCTGCTGGGTGCTGGGAGAGGCCCTGCACACCACGGCATTGGTGGTGCCGACAACTTGGCCAATGTCATGGTGCCTGATTCCTGTGGGGTTACTCAGCTGGCTGGAGAACATGAAGCAGGAGGAATGGTCTCCCTCAGGGCACGGATTTGGCTGCTCTGGGTGAAATCCAAGCAATGCTCACCCACATGCTGCTGAGGCTGGCATGATGGCCAAAGGAGGGGGTCCTGCAGCAAGGCAGGGACGTGGCTTCCTCTCCTCACTTGTGATTGCTGTCCTACCCCAAATGAGCTGGGCAAAACTTTGGTAGGTGGGCACAGCACCAAGTGAAGCTGTTGGATGTCCCCCTCCAAGACGAGCTGGGGGCTAAATGTGAGGCTGCTTTGGTCCATCCTGATGTGATGTTGTAGCACTTGCCATGGATTTTCCCAGCCAGCCCCATGGCCCCAGTGAGCCCCAGCCCGGCAGAGTGCCCAGGCCTGGCGTGCTGGGGCACCTTTCAGCCTCGTTCATGGTGGTTGTGCCTTCCCTCCCGTGCCAGCCCACGCTGCCCACGCTGTCTCAAGTGCTTCCTGCAAGCCTTAACAATGGAGCCAAGCAGAGGCTGCCATCCCCTGGGAGCTCTGGAAAGCTCCATGGTATATCCCCAAGGTGGCTCAGAGGTACCCAAGGGCAGCCTTCCCAGTGGACATCTTGGCAGGCTGCAGCTCCAAACTGTCTGTCCTTCATCCCAGGATGACATGGAGCCAGCCCAGATTGGTGATTTCAGCACTGCCCCTGGGTTGGCATGGGAAAGGAACCTGGGAGCCTGCTCTGTTTTACACCCTCCTGTAGCACCTCAGGAGCATATTTCTTGGCAAAGATGAAAGCATAAGGATTTTGCTTTGTTTCTGTTTTCAAAAGCAAAATATCTCAGTGAAAACATTTCAGATCTAATAGCTTGACTAAGCTTTGAATTCCTGTGGTCACAGAAAGTGATGTCTTATGAACACCCATAAAATCTTCAGGCATTAATCACAAGTGCAATTTTTCTCTTGCTCCTGCAGCAGCAGCAGGCAGTGTGCTGCAGGACCTGCTCCTGTAGGGAAGGGGAATGCACACTGCAGGTTGACCCTAGGGAAAACACACCAAACTCCCACCATCCTCAAGCATGACACAGTCTGGAGTAGCATTTTGACATGAAGTTAGTGGAGCTGCTCCAGACACTGTAGCTGAGACCACATTTTGGCTTAAAACTTTTCCAAACAGCCTCTGTAGCAACACCATGGTGTCCTTTGCCACTGGGAGAGGACCAGGCATGTGTGCCATCTTCCCTCTGGTGACACCTCCAGCCTCACAGCTAAGGGCGTCTTCAGCCTTGCAGGGTTTTCAAGACATTTTGGTAGATATTTTTACTACTCATGAAGGCTTCATATTGTACTTAAAGCAGTGATTTGGCTCTTAATTATTTTCTCTTCTAGGAAATTACTTCAATTTTTTTATTGTTGTTGTTTTTAAAGTTAAAATAGTTTATATTTCATTGTGTTTCCTCCCTACCTCAAAAGAAATGTCATTTATAGGACACCAATGGCTGCACCCAAAATTTAATTGCTTGTGGGAACTTGCCTGTCTATGAATGCATCAGCTGTTTTTATACCAGAATCAAAAATGTATTTAGAGAAAAAAAAAAGATAAAAGAAAATGGAGTGTAATAAAAAGTATAGCTGAAGGGGTTTGAGAGGCATCTCCATATCAAGAAAAGTTACATCACCTGTGAAAACATCAGATATACTGTTCCAGCTCTGCAGTCATTATCCTTATTAGCAGTGTTGTTATTACCACTGGAACAAGAGTGAGCTCAGGGCCATGGAAACAGGAGGGCTCTGGGCCACATCCTGCACATCCTGCAGCACACGCCATGGGAGGCCTGACCCAGACATGCAACAGCAAAAAAAAAAAAAAAAACAAAAAAACAAAAAAAACTTGTGCAGAAGAGATGAAGGAGAATTTTTGTAGCTGCATTTCTAGGAGAAGTGTTTTTTCTTGAGAAGGAGCATTTTAGAAATTCCTTTTATTGTTTCTCTCTCACTGCAAACACACTGGGGCAACTGACATAAGAAATTGGGCATGTTCCTAGAAAAGAGGGATTATTAATAAAGCTCTTGCCTAGACAGGAGCTGCCTGCAGCCCAGTGGAGATCTGCCTGCTAACCCATGTAAGAGGCACACACTGAGAGCTCCTTTACCTTCAGGCACCAGCAACCCTCAAAACCATCACACTGTCTTCCTGCCCTCCCAGGGATCATGAAAAACCTCAGTGCTTCATTCAGAGGAGCTGTTTTAGTCCCATGTGTGGCAGAGGAGAGAGGAGGACACCACCAGGAAGTTTTCTCACCCTAAGAGGATTATTGAGAGGAAGGGCCTGTGTCTTCTCACTGGCTTGTAGCTTCTCCTATCAATAACAAAGGCCTGTCTGAACCAACACACTCTTTAAATTGGGCTACTCCAGGCAGGTTGGCAGAATTAAATCTGGCCAAAGGTGGATATTTTGTAAACAAAATGGGTTAAATATAAAAAAAAAGCCAGCCCCCTTTCCTAGGAAGCCACCCACTTTTTGCATGCCAGATGCTCTGCTGCCTGGAAACTTTCCAGACAAAGTGCAAAAAAGTTTCTGGATGGGCTGCGAATTAATTCAGCAGCAGTTCATTTGTTTCCTTTAGCTGCATGTACCAATTGCAAATAAGCTTAACAGATGATATTTGCTACTTAGAATAGTTTATAAAACAGCACAGGAATTATTTATAGCTGGACTTCACTGCATACATTCAGTCTGAGGTTCAAGAAATCAAGCTCTCTAGCACCAGTTAAACTCCCTCTTGTTAAAGTTTCATAAATTACCATCAATGGAGAACAGTGCGCAGACTTACACCATGCCAGCTGGAATCCTGGAAGACGGGTTTGCCACTTCATCAGCAAGAGGAATCACACCAGTTTTCACAAGGAAACAGGAGGAACTGATGTTCCTGCTGCTCTGCATGGGTTGGGTCCTCTGCTGATCCGTGCTACTGCAGCTCCATCAGCAGCACCACCACAACTTTTCCCCACCCAGGCATCCAGACTGCAAGAAATTAGAAGTGCATTGTATTTAAATGTCAGCATTTTGCAAATAAGTCCACAGAAAAAATCCTTGCATTTTTTACTGTGTGCTATGTCTCATTTTTAGATAATACCAACAGCTCATTTCAGGGCAATTAGGAGATAAATAGACATACATATGCATAAATGTATGTATGGATGTAGGGGCAATTTTATAACTAGCATGTTAACAGGATTGTCACAGGCCCAGACTGCACTAGTGGCTCCATCAACTCACCATCTGAAATATCTCTTTTCTAGATTAATCTCTTAAAGCTCATTTAACTCCCCACACTTCATGGTTTGGGATACTGTTGTATTGTTTCACTCCAACATATCAGCTGGTTACTTGTTTAGCTGGAAAAGTCCTTCTGCATATACAGTTACCTATTTTGCATTTCAAAATGAGATGGACCACTTATCTGTAAAACTGGTCTTGAGGTGTACCTGCAGCACCATGAGAGATTTAAAAAGTCAGCCTTTCTTTAGCCTCACAAAGAGGATGGCTGATGCCTCCAGACCTGCTGAACAAACTCTGTGCTCTGCACCTCCTTGGAAAGAAAACAAAGCAGATGCCTGTGCTAGCAAGAGGGATTTTTTTCCAAGGGGTCCAGCAGCACTTGTGATCCTGTTGCCAATTAGCTCTGCTCCTGTGAGGAGAACTTGCAGAGGTCTGGAGACAATGCAGGTAAACCTGGTTTGCCTTTCTCCTCCAGCATGCCAGGAAAAGCTTTCAGATGACACAGAGGTGCCCACAAGGCCTTTGGATGACAGGCTGGAGATGGCTGCAGTCACTTCCAATGGCATCAGCATCATCCAGCAGGGAGCTCTGTGCTCAGAACAGTCAGTACAAGGCATCCAGTAAGTGCCAGGAAATGCCTGACATTTGGATAATTATGTGCTTATTGTTCACATGAACATCAAGTCCCAGGGAGCCTGGATACCCAGAAACAAGTCAGGCAGTGTGGGTGCCTGCAGACCAGCTTGTTGTCAGAGTCAAATACCACATAATTTGAACTGAGGCTGTCTTCAAATTGCATACAGAGCCATAGCTTCTCTTTTCCTTGAGTCCTCTCTAGATTTGAACCAGGTTGCATAATTGGAAGGATCAAGTGGGAGTTAAATCCATGGCTCTTGACTTCTTTCAAAGGCAAAATAGTGCTTACTGCCTTGCATTCCTTCAGGGAGCTCCTGTCCAACAGGAGAGATCTAATGACCTAATCCACGTGAAGCCCTGGAGATACTGTTTTTGCTTCAAAGGCTAAATGCAAATTTTGTTCTTGTACCTTGTGTGGTTGAAGGGCTTGGCGTGAGTACAGAGGTGGGAGGTGCAGAGGGCACTGCTGCCTGCCTGTCTGAGGGATCAGCAGCAAGTAACAGCAGCACCTAGCCACAAAAAGGCTGGAAGATAAAAGTCCTGCTAGTTGCTCTTCAGGTTTTCTTGTGATGATGCAGGGACTGCCTCCAACACTGCAGGTTCCTCAGTGTGCCCCAGAAGTGAGATCCCAACTGATTTTGAAAAAGCAATTTTTCCCCACCTCAATCTCAAAGACCTTCAACTCCTCCCAAGGCTTCTTCTCACACCCCAAACCCTCTTCCTCTCCCAGTATTTTGCCATACAACCATCACCTTCTTGGCTGTCACCCTCACTCCTGGAGAGCATGTGGGTGAGACTCAGAGCCCTGTCCCGCTGTTCTCCATGGCCATCCAGGCATGGGCCTCTAAGGTTGCACCACTGAACACTGGTGGGGAGGCATGAGACCAAAGAAATTGCTTAGGCTGCATTTTTCCATTTAAAATACCATCTCCTCCCTTCCCTCTTTCTGCCCAAGGCCACTGACCTCTAAGATTTGTCAAAATCTTGGTGTCTGAGCATCCAGTCTGCCTCAGCTTCCCCTCCTCAAGGCTGTTTTGCCTTTTCTGCTTATCCACCTTTGTTGAAATGCAGACTTCTCCCATCCTGCTCATGAATAGTCTGAAGCCACTACAGCTCTTGCAGGCTGTAAATTTTGTCCCAGTTCACAATGTTCAACCCTGAAACAAGAATCAAATCAAATGAGGGCTGTGACCACATGTGGCATCAGCTGGTGATAAACAGAAGAGCATTTCTGAAAGAAACCCTGCTTGGTGGAAATTGGTGCTAACAGGTCCCCTTGAACAGCTTCCACTTGGTCAGAGCCTTCTGAGGGCTGGATGCTATTTCCAGACCAAGCCTGCACAACACCCAAATATTGCAGACTGTTGATGGCTTCAAAAAGGGGTTGAAAACATCATCAGCACAGCATAATTATTCACAAAACAGGCCAATTTCAATGCTCAGCACAATAGTTTTAAACAATAGTTGATGAAAATCAATTTCCAAGTCAGTTGAGAGGCTGATAACTTCCCTGGTTGCACGGCTCATTCCCAAGTAATCATATTAGAGGCAGATGTCACACAAGAATGTGACTCCACTAACCATTAAGAGACACTGAGCTCCTTTGTCTTCTGAAGCAAGTTTCCATGGGATTATACTAGAATAATCCCATGGGTAGAATAATTTAAAATTGAAAAACAATAACAATCCTGAAATAATTTAATGGGCTATTCCTTTAATCTTCCTTCTATGGAAGAATCCAAACTAATCAGGGGTAAGGGGACACCTCTCCCCAGGGCTAAATGGCCATGAAATGCTCACTCACATCCAATTTCTGTGGGACCAGGCCATTTAGTGGTTGTCAGTATCTTTGCAAATCTCCCTCCTAGGTGAAATTGCACTCTGCTGTTCTGCCAAAAAGCAGTAGTTACTTTTGGTTTTCAGGGGGGCTTTCTTTTTCTAGATGAGAATATACAGATATTCTCATAACTTTAGAGAGGCTTTCAAAACCCAGGTGCAGAGGTTTGGCATCAGCAACCTCCCCAGAGCACTTTATAGCACATAAATCTTGCTCCCAGTTAATCAAACAATGCTGGAGTGAGCCAAGGAACCATGAGAATGTAAAATGCTCTTCTCCTCCCTTCCTACTTATCAGAGATTTTTGCTGCTGCTTCTTCAGAGGCAGAGGGAGGAGTTTTATTGCTTTAAATGTGACTTTAGCACTGGTAAGGATGCTGCCTTGGTTGAACATGGTCATTTACTGTGCACAGGACTTTTCTGGGTTTGGGTTTTTTAACCCAAACCTGCCCTTGATGGCCCAGCTGCTCTCCTGCATTAACCCTTCTCTGGAACTGTTTTTTTCAGCCCTCATCTTTACTTTACCCCAGTCTGGGTTCCCAGCAAGGCTGGAATTGTCATGCAGTTGTGTTAGGAACAACCACACCATTTCTCCCAGCCAAAGAATTTGGCTGCTTTCCTACTGATCCTCTATGCTCCCTGGGTTGTGTGCTGCAGGACAGCTCAGGGTGCTTTGCCTTTTGTTGATGAAGAGTTTTGTGAGGGTGAGAGATGAGATAACTCCATGGATATCATAATTTTCCCACCAAAACTGGAGCAGGACCCCCTTTTTGCTCAAAGTTATCCCTGCAGATGCCAGACTTGTTTTCAAACAGGGATGCTCAGACTCAAGCTGAGCCAAATAGAGCCAGAGGAAAAGATTGCACCTCCAAACTGTCATGAAATCAGGATTAGCACATGAAGCAGGAGCTGTGTTTAAAGACTTGCTTAACCTCCTGCTTAACACAAGTCTTTGCTTTAATCTATAATGCCATCTAGTTTTGTTTTAATGAAGTTATGCAAAAAAGTTCTTCACTGAAAAGACCAACCCAGCATTTTCTTTCTTCCCTTCAAGTAGAGATGAAAAGCACTGCCTGCAGCCTGAAAGTTTGTTTCCTCAAGGAAACGGAAAGCAAAGAATTTACTTATATTAATGCTTTGTATCAAGTACTTTTGAATTTCAAGGGGTAAAAATCAGCCTTGACCTGGATGCTGAGTCCAGATTTTCATAATGTTTTTCCCACTCTGCTGGCGCCAAGGTCAGTGGGTTGCACTTCTGCTTCAGTCTGTTTTAATTCTGGTCTCTTAGCACTGACTTCTCTGTGCAAGACATGGAAGCCACACCCCAGTGTGTGCTACTCCCAGCCATTAACAATCCTGGGCTAAATAAACACACAAGGATCTTTCTGCATCTGGTTTTACTGGCAGGAGAAAGAGACATTATATGTCTCTGGAAATCTGATAAAACAATGACATATAAATTCTGGATTGCTAACATGGCCAGTTTAACTCCACTGGACAGAATTTGCTGCATGGCTTAAGGCTGAGAATAAAACCTCTCTCTTTTCCTAAGCACTGTAAACCAGAAAATACATTTAAATTAGCATTTGGCAATATCTACAACCTTCTAGCAGAAGATAATAGCCTCTCAAATTCAGTTTCTGCAATCTGCCCCTCTACAGGGTAATGACTTGTCATTTGTTCTGTCTTATTTGTGGAGTATTGCACAAGCCTGTCTTTCTTCCATGAATATTTTAAAAAGCTGGATAGTTGCTTGGCAAAGGCCTGGGTTGGTGCCTGAGTATTGTGCAGTCTATACCACGCTCTGCCACAAGCTTCCTTGTGACCTTGATAAGTGCCTGTGCTTCTTCCATTTCTCAATTTCCCTTCACTGCAGTGTGCATTTTCCTCCTTCTGTACTTTGTAAATTCCTTAAACTGGTGAATATCTCTCTATATACTCATCTTCATACAGGGCTTACTTCAAGTGTAGATCAACTTTTCAGGTGCTAGAAGCACTGTGATTAAATGAAGAAAAAAATTCTGCTGTTGGTTTTGTTGCTGCAATACTTAAGATTATTTGTGCATGATATAAATATATGTCTGTTTGTTTAGCCCTTGTTTGCAAGAGCCATTTAATGAGGATCAGGTAAGGAGAAAATAGTCAATGCTATGAGCTGGTGAACATGGAGCAGGGATGGGCTTGAAGGATGAATTTACAGAAAAGTGACTGGCAGAGATGGGATCATGCAGTAAAACTTA